TGGTTGGTTCGCCAGGCAGCAGCTCCGATTGGTTCGTTCCGGTGCCTGATCAGCACCTCGGTTTTCCAAAACGGACCGACCCCTGTGTTTCTTTTCCATAGGAAATGGATTTTACCGTGGGAGAGAAAGCACAACCCCGGTTCAGCCATTCAGAGCCCAGCATGGCCCGAGCGCCGCCTCTGATTGGTCGACAACCAGGCTTCGGATTGGTCCGATTTGGATCCGGGTTTTTTTCTTGGGTAGCCTTGGTATTTTTTAGGTAGACGGTCGTCTGAATGCTAAAGGAAGGTGGACCTTCATAGGTAGACATGAACATGGGAATGCCTACGTGATGTACGTTGTGTCACCCCCATGCCAATCGGAATGTCATGTGTGTGTGTGTGTGTGTGTGTGTGTGTGTGTGTGTGTGTGTGTGTGTGTGTGTGTGTGTGTGTGTGTGTGTGTGTGTGTGTGTGTCTTCAAACAGACGTTGACGTTGATCCATAGAATGATGATACCCTGCCTACGCGATGTACGTCATGTTGCCAGACACGAGTGGTGTTTCACGCGTGTTGTCAGGCAAAACGTGGTGTCATGTGTGTGTGTGTGTGTGTGTGTGTGTGTGTGTGTGTGTGTGTGTGTGTGTGTGTGTGTGTGTGTGACTACAAACATTAATGTAGTATTGAGATGGATAGAGAAAGATCGATACACATGCGTGACGTTTGCACACGTAATGTACTTCGTGTCGCGATTTGAACGTCATGTACTTTGTCAAACGTAGTGTCATGTGTGTGTGTCTTCTAATTATTATTATTATTATTAAATGATACCGAGGTGTTGACACTCGTGTAGGTCTACAGACGTACTGTGACACGTGTTTTCATGCACACGTGATGTTTGACGTGGTGTACTACGTGTCTCTATTGATATATTTATATATCTATTTATTTTATTTTGAGACGTACCATGGTGGTGTCACCGGTAGACGTATGCCTCCAAGAGACCTAGGGGGAGGGTGTGGGTTCTTTGTTTTGGATTGTGGGGTGGGCAAAGCAAAGGATGAAAGTTGTCCATAGAATGATGATACCATGCCTACGCGATGTACGTCATGTTGCCAGACACGAGTGGTGTTTCACGCGTGTTGTCAGGCAAAACGTGGTGTCATGTGTGTGTGTGTGTGTGTGTGTGTGTGTGTGTGTGTGTGTGTGTGTGTGTGTGTGTGTGTGTGTGTGTGTGTGTGTGTGTGACTACAAACATTAATGTAGTATTGAGATGGATAGAGAAAGATCGATACACATGCGTGACGTTTGCACACGTAATGTACTTCGTGTCGCGATTTGAACGTCATGTACTTTGTCAAACGTAGTGTCATGTGTGTGTGTCTTCTAATTATTATTATTATTATTAAATGATACCGAGGTGTTGACACTCGTGTAGGTCTACAGACGTACTGTGACACGTGTTTTCATGCACACGTGATGTTTGACGTGGTGTACTACGTGTCTCTATTGATATATTTATATATCTATTTATTTTATTTTGAGACGTACCATGGTGGTGTCACCGGTAGACGTATGCCTCCAAGAGACCTAGGGGGAGGGTGTGGGTTCTTTGTTTTGGATTGTGGGGTGGGCAAAGCAAAGGATGAAAGTTGTCTTTTGGGTGAGATGGGTGGCCCTGAAAAGGGCCGTTTTGGGGAAGAAACATTTTTCTGCTGCTGTCCAAGAAGAATCATCATGTCCAAGCTTAATGACAAGACAAGGATCGTCGAAGCGGTACTTGTAGCCATCTGGGTATGTCATCTGGGTGCCCTACGTGGCACCGCTTGTGGGTCCAACAAAGAAAATAAAATAATTTTAACAGGAACTTGAACGGGAACTTGAACAGGAACGCAGGACACGGGAAACGTCCTCCTAGGCAGCCGGCCGTGCTACGTCATTCGTGTACCTCTGTTTCTCTTCGCAAAGATAGTGTAGTTGTAGCTTCTTCTGGTGTTTCACCAGACCGGTTAGCTTGAGGTAGTCGTAGTCTGGGGACCACTTGTGATGTGCCGCCCAAGGATCGTCGTGGGGCCCCCATTGTCTCAGCCGCACACCACATTGGAAACAGCACACGCCATCGGCACCCTGAGTGTAGACAAAGCCCGCATGGGCCATCTCTTCAGCAGTCTGATACATTTGCGTTGGCCACGCCTCAAACGAAGCAAGTCTTCTTTCAAAGCGTAGATAATAGTGCGATGGCGTGTGACTGAGCAGTGACACCGCATCCTCAGCATCCGTACTCTTACTCCAACATCCACGAGTATCTGCACTATCCATCACCACATCTCCACCACGAGTCGTCGTACCACTCTTCTTTGTTTCAGCCGTTCTTGATTTTATCAAATAAATTTTACAAGTGACACTGACCCACTCGAATCCACTCTTGTTTTATAGGAGAAGAACTGGATCGAAAATGGATGCTTCCTGGCTGGTCCAAAACGCAACGCACTGATTGGTTCGTTCCGGTGCCTGGTCTGCACCTCGGTTTTCTAAAACGACCCGACCCTTGTGTTTCTTTTCCATAGGAAATGGATTTTACCATGGGAGCGAAAGCACAACTCGGCTCGGGTGCTGTCTTCTGATTGGTCGGTGCTGTCTTCTGATTGGTCGACAACCCAGGCTTCGAATTGGTCAGATTTCGATCCTGTTTAGGGGAAGGGTTGTCCATTAATCAGACGTTCAGTCCCTCTTAGAGTACAGACGTTCATCAGACACGCATCGCTATCATGATGAGCAACCAAAGTACGCCCTATCGTTTGGAGAGGAAAGATGCCACCTGCTCCAGACGATTAAGAACTGCTAATCATACGTATCGTTTGACTTTCAACCCAGACTACTTGGACACCGTACCCCACCGGACCGCGTTCCCATGGAACTGCCAGCTTTATTTGACAGGGTGATCGATGACTTTTATGAACAGATGTCAGGCCAGAAGGGTGATTGTATTGGTCTAGGTATCGAGCATCCCACTTTGAACACCCCCATACGGATTCCCTTTTGTCGCTTTGAAGATCTCCATGGGCTAAATATTTTGCGTGCCGTGGAAAAAGTCCAACAGTCCAACAAAGACCTGAACATCGATGCCACCATGGTTGTGACTTTAGTACACATAGCAGATCCCGACAGGCTAGGATCGGGCAGTGGTGTTCCCCGGCTGAAAAACGTGATTGGACTCGAAGCTTTTTTAACACGCAAAAAGTGCATTGTACAGATCAAGAACGAAGATCAATCCTGTTTGGCACGGGCCTTGGTGGTGGCACAGCATTATGCCCAGAAGCCCCACCCTCTGACTGAAGAATGGGAAACCCAGCGAGTGAGACTGACGAGAACGGATCGCGACGACGTTCAAGGCATACGGGCACGGGACTTGTTTCGACGCCTTGGCCTGCCTGAAGGTCCCTGTCAGGGTCTGGACGACCTCGCACGCATGGGACGGGCCTTGGCCCACTTGAATTATCAACTGAAAGTCTACAGTCAAGAGGTGGACCAGAGAGTGTGTGATGAGGCTCCACCCCACGCCACCGTGCTACATGTATATCATCATGATCAGCACTACGATGTCATCACTTCCATGTCCGCTTTTTATGGCTCTAACCATTACTGCGAACACTGCGACCAACGTTACGACCATCCCGAAAAACACCCCTGCACCAAGCAATGCCGCTGACACCGCTGCCTCCACTCTAGCTATTGCGGACCCAAGGAAGAGCACGGGATCCCTTGCTTGACATCTCAACGTTGGTTCCCTAAACAACAGTGTTACACCCGACATCTCCAGTCACCGTCAGAGGGAAAACCCAGCGCCTGTCAATCGATTCACAGGTGCCCGACCTGTTTTCGGCTGGTCCGCGTCTTGGAGACTCCCATGGTTCACCACGAGTGCTCAGATGAAGAACATCCCTGCTTGGTGTGCCGTGAACCAATGACCCCAGAACATCATTGTTACATGACGCCCCTCCGTGAAGAAAACGATGATGAGGAGGGGGAGGGAGAGGAAGCGGAGAAGGAGGGGGAAGAGGAACAACATCACCTACGAGACAATGTACAATACGTCTTCTACGATTTTGAATGCATGCAAGACACGGGGGAACACATTCCAAATTTGTGCGTGGTGCAGTTGGGATGTGGACGGTGCATCAGTGAAGTGAGCAAGGACTTGTGCGAACACTGTCCATGGAGAGAAGAAGGGTATGGTCCCAGCCGTGAGATTGTGTTTTGAGGCCCCACCACACGACATGATGTATGTGTGTGGTTGACCACGCTGGCTGAAACACCCAAGAAGAAGAAGAAGAACCAAGAGGAAGAAGAGGACAGTACACGCAAGGGCACAACAGCCCACCTGGGGAAAAAAAGAAACTGGGATGGCACCCCCTCAAGAAATCACGCTTCCAAACGTCAACGACATGCATCACCCCAGCAGGAGGCGGAGGAAGAGGTGGAGCGGGAAGAGGTCATGGAAGTGAAGAAAACAAAGAAGACAAAGAACAAGAACACCACCACCCATACAGTCTAGAAGGAGGATCGCATTTATGTGATGGCCCATAATGCACGATCCTATGATTTACACTTGATCCTGAAGGGCCTGTCCCCTCTCCTGGTGAAACTCCCCACCAAGATTCGGAATGGTCAACAAATTTTGCAGGTGACCCTGGGACGGTTGTGTTTCGAAGACAGCTTAAATTTCTTCTCTTACCGCCTGAAAGCTTCCCAAGAGCTTTGGGCTGAAAGAACTGAAGAAAGGGTATTTTCCACACTTTTTCAATACCGAACCCAACCAGACCTACAGAGGTCCCTATCCACCAGCCGTCATGTACGATCCCGATGGCATGTCTCCCGCGGAACGCACAGTCTTCCTCCAGTGGCATACCCAAAAAGTGCAAGAAGGAGCTTTGTTCGACTTACAAGGAGAACTTTTAGCCTACTGTCAGAGCGATGAGGACATTTTGAGACGGGGATGCGCCGACTTCCGACAGATCTGGCATGGATCCCTTTGTAGAAGTGATGACAGCTGCTGCATTCACAATGAAATCCTTCCGAAAACACGACCTGAAACCCAATACCATTGCCATTCTTCCACCTCAAGGCTACCAACCCAAGAGAAACTATTCCCAGGCCTGTATGCACTGGCTCCATTATCTGATGGAAACGGACCCCCATCTGCACCTCCAGCACGCCAGGAATGGAGGTGAAAAAGAATTCACGTGTGGAGAGGGCCAACATCGGTACAGTGTGGATGGCTACAATCCAGCGACAGGCACCATCTACGAATTCCTGGGCTGTTTCTGGCGTGGGTGCCAGGCCTGTCACAAGACCCAACATGGAGAACCGCATCCCGTCCTGGGCACGTCGTTGGGAGCCCGTTACACCGACACCCACTACCGCTTGAGTCTCTTGAGTCAACACCCTGATGTGGAACGGATCGTCACCCTGTGGGAGCACGAGTTTACGAAAATGCAACAGGAGGACTCTGCTCTGCGTGCTTTCTTGCAGGGGCCCCACTGTATCCACGTCCCTGGGCCTCTCAACCCTCGCGACGCCTTCTATGGAGGACGCACCAATGCCACGCGATTATGCTGCGAAGTCCAAGAAGGTGAAACCATCAAGTACATCGATATTTGTTCCCTTTATCCATACATTTGTAAGACCAGAGCATTTCCCCCGAAACGACTCTACCATCCGCTACTGCCTTACAGATCGGGTGGCAAACTGCTCTGTCCTTTGTGCCGTACTTGTGCCGATACCCGGTCAGACTCCCCCTGCGAGCACACGGACGAAGAGAGGTCATTGGTGGGTACGTACGCCACCGTAGAACTCCAGGAAGCCGTGAAGAAGTATGACTACCAGGTGCTTCAGATCTACGACGTTTGGCATTTTGACACCTTTGCACAGCATGACCCCGACACCCAGCAAGTAGGACTCTTTGACAATAATATCGATCGACATTTCAAGGAGAAGCTCGAAGCCAGCGGATACCCTGAAGGATGTACGGATCATGACGCTAACATCCAGGAGATCTACGACAAAGAAGGCATTGGGTTGGACAAGGACCGCATCGAAAAAAATCCAGGACGTCGCACGATTACCAAGATGCAACTGAGTTCGCTCTGGGGCAAGTTTGGGCAACGGGTAGACTACAGTCAGAACATCTATATGAACGATCCTGTACAGTACTTTGCCTTGTGGAGGGATGAACGCAATACCATCGATGATGTTACTGTTGTCAACGAACACATGGTGGAAGTGACCTATATCCAGCAGAAAGAATTCCAAACCCCTCATTCTCATTTCAATGTCGCCATCCCTGCTTGGGTCACCGCCCAAGCACGTCTCAAGCTGTACGAGACCCTTGCCCTGGTGGACCGCAGGGTCTTGTACTTTGACACAGACAGCGTCATTTACATTCATCGACCCCACGACGCGAATCCAGAGCTGGGCCATTCGTTGGGTGAGTTTACAGATGAACTGGACGGAACACCATCAAGACGATTGTGTCAGGAGGCCCCAAAAACTATGGTTATGAGTTAATGAACCCCAGACCCGATGGAACGCGCACGACCTGCAAAGTGCGAGGGTTCACTTTGAAATACCGAAACCAACAACATCTCAACTTTGACACAATGAAAGGACTAATACTGGGACAACGGCCTGGGAAAGAGGGGGAGAAAATCAGTTTGAATTACCCTCATCAGATCATTCGAAAAGAACCTCGGCACGAAAACGCTCTTGTGACCCGACCCACCCGAAGAGACTATCGTACCGTGTACGACAAGCGACGTCTCGTCTACAATGAAACCACAGGGCTGCCTGTAGACACGCTGCCCTTTGGGTTCAGAGACGACTTTCTATAAAAAAATTCAAAAAAACGGATTGAAACTGAATCGACATAATCCCCTACAGAAAAAACGGATCGAAATCGGACGAATCCGAAGCCTGGGTTGTCGACCAATCAGAGGCCACGCTCGGACCATGGTGAACTCTGATTGGTTGAACCGAGGTTGTGCTTTCTCTCTCACGCTACAAGCCTAACCCTATGGAAAAGAAACACAAGGGTCGGGCCAGTTTGGAAAAATTGAGACTCAGACCACACTCCGGAACGGGCCAATCAGAAAGCAGGACCTCCTCGGCTTTAAATACGACCAACACTCTCCGGGCATCACTTTTCACTGAACGGACCAAGCAACAACATCGTCCCTCTGATTGATGTTCCTCACGTTGTGTTGGTTGTTGGCGTTTTATCTGGAAGAAACACGTGTTTGGAGAGAGTACCATCAAGTGTTGACACACATCCGTGAAGACTTGGAAAGAAAAAACAACGAACAGAAAATCCGGACAACATCATGTCGAAACGGTTGAATGCCAAGACATGGTGCGACATGGGTGGTCAAGGAAGCAGTGGAGATGGGAGTGGTGAAATGACTGCTGAACTGTGGGGTGAAGTGTATGACGTGATGTGTGCCAAGATAAAGACCGACGACGCGTACGCCAAGTTACGTGCGAAGGCCGACGAAGTGATGTGCGACATGATACGTTCAAAGATGAGGAAGCTGACTGAACCCAAGAAAGTAGCACCGAAGAAGACAATAAAGAAGATCAAGAAGAAAAAAACCAGCAAACCAGCAGCAGCATCCACCACCACCACCACCACCCTCGCAACAGTACCAGTCACCACCATCACTACAGCAGCAACAACAGCAGCAGCAACAGACACCGAAACGAAGGGGACATCCTTTTTGAAACCTGCAACACCTGCAATGCATGCAAAAAGACGATCACGGAAGAAATTATCTCTGAAGATCTCTCCTCAAGAACAGCTGTAAGTACCATGCTCTTCTTTGTCTCAGTCATTCTTGATGTGATGATGATGTTGATGTTGATGCTGATCTTGATGATGAATATGCCTATTCATATAATTGACTCTGTCCTATGATTGACAGGACCCCTGATGTCAGTTCAGCCCAGTCCGTGCTAGAACAGTGGTGGGAACAAACCCCTCGGGAGCCCACCTATTCACCGAATGCACCTGTGACGATGGCGAAGGATGACAGTGTTGATCATGAAGCGCTCAAGCAGGCGACTATCCCTTCCATGGATCTGGACACGCTCCCCCTGCTTGATGCTTCTTGGTCACCAGCATCACCGGAAGATGTTCATGTCTTCTCCTCAGGTATGCCCATGGTTTGCGACGATGATGATGATGATGATGACAACGTTGACCAGGATCCTTATGGAGAAGCTCAACTTACTCCCCTACAACGCGAATGTAGTGTTAAGATACATCAGCTGCAACAGCGGGCAAGTGATGTGTCATGTCTGTTTTCTGGAGGCCATAGACTGTACTTGTTTAACTGATGGACCTCTCACATGTTTGATGGAGGACCACATCTTATGGGATTGAAGATAGAAGAGCTTGAAGATGAAAGAGGAAAACGTTGTCGCGTTATTGTTGTTGTAGGGACATGCAAAGCACTCCCTCCTCCATTGTCTTTTCGTATTTCCAATGTATCTGGTTGTGATTGGTTTTTTCATTATTAAACAGTGATTGATTGAACTGACTCTTTGTGTCTTGGTTGATCTCAACTCCAATAGAGTACCGAACCGAGGGTAGAGGTTGAGTTGAGATGTCGTCTACGTTGTCTGTCTGTCTGTCTGTCTGTCTGTGCGTCTGTCATGCCAGTGCACACCAAAGTGTAAAATTAAAATAAAAATAGATAAAAGAGAAAGGCCATGCTTGAAAGATCAGCTGCCTGGTGTCAGTCATTCCAGTACGCATCGGTCCCCACACCCACCGTGTGCCATGTCATGTCATGTGTCATGTCATGTATCATGCCGTGTGTCCGTCAGCCCAAACACAGGTTGACGTCACGTGATGAGGTGGAGGAGGTGGAGGAGGTCGAAGCTAAGGTCATGACCTTCCGTTGAAGGGAGTAGGGTGAAGAGTTTCATAAAAGCAGGCGAACCCTCAGACCTTTTTCAGTGAAGTCACAGTCATCAGCAAAGACGTTCTATGAATGCCATGTCATCCTCCCGAGATGTCGTCACCGATTCCGAGTGGGCGTCTGAAAAGGCGGGAGAACAAGAAGCGAGAAAACGTCCACTCTTTATGGACGACACACTCTTGATGGACGACACATGGCGATTCAGTGACATTCTGGAGAGACCTTTTCCTTCTTACACCTTGTGTCATCCTTCTCATCCCAACTATGATTCATTTCAAGAACGTCTGAGGTCTTTTCAAACGTGGCCTAAACAGATGACCCAGACCCCTTATGACATGGCCATGGCTGGCTATTTCTATCCAGGACGAGGTGACCGTGTTACCTGTTATTGCTGCGGTGTGACACTCCGCCAATGGGAAGCCACAGACCAACCCTGGAAAGAACATCTGAAGCACGCCAAAGTCCCCTGCGAATACTTGTGTGTGTTTTGTCCTGATGGAGAAGTGAACGAAAAATACAGACGTTTGGTGTCCCAAGAAGCACGGAAGAGAAGAGTCGAGTGTCTTGTTCACCCCAAGTGACAAAGTTTTCAAAGTGTACAGACGTTCATACCCTCGTGGTCACCCTCGTGATCATCCCCCGTGGTCACCCCTCGTGTTCACAAAAATCACAGGGATGTTCCCCTCATCCTGTGACTTTTGTTTTGTTTTGTTTGTTCATGTGATCAGGGGGATTAAAAAAAGTTGAACTCATAGTAGTGTTATGTTGTGTGTAGGATGAAGAAAAAAACAAAACAGGATCGAAATGCACCCCCGATAAAAACCGGGTCGAAATCGGACCAATCCGAAGCCTGGCTTGTCGACCAATCAGAGACCGCGCTCGGACCATGCTGGGCTCTGATTGGCTGAACCGGGGTTGTGCTTTCTCTCCCATGGTAAAATCCATTTCCTATGGAAAAGAAACACAGGGGTCGGTCCGTTTTGGAAAACCGAGGTGCTGATCAGGCACCGGAACAAACCAATCGGGGGCGCTGCCTGGGGAACCAATCAGGAAGCAGAGTGTCAGTGGCTCTCCTATAAAAACAAAACAAGAGCGAAGCCACTCACACACTGCATTCTATGAAACCAATCATGCCAGCTCGATACAGTTGTATGAAGTGCCAGACCGACAGTCACAGTTACCTGTACTGTCCTGAAGTGACATGCCTCGAGCGTCACGATCAAGGTCACCGTCACTATGTCTGTCCGAAGATGAACAGTCAAGAGAAGCAGAACCTGGGCCCCTGTTACAACTGTCAAGTCATGGGTCATTTCGCTGCAGATTGCCCAGAGCCCAGTCGAAAGAAGACACCCCAGCGCCCCTGTTACAACTGTCAAGTCGTGGGTCATTTCGCTGCAGACTGCCCAGAACCTAGTCGAAAGAAAACGTCAGAAACACCGTCCACGTCGACACCCGTGGCATCCGTGGCACCCATGGCACCCGTGACACCCATGCACCCGTGACACCCGTGACACAAGTGCTTCATCTCATCGAAGACATGCATGCCGATGTCCTCGACCTAAAAGAATGCCTCACACAACTCCGTGCAGGCATCACACCTCGTTCTATGTTTAGAACAACAACAACAACAACAACAAACGATTTTTGACGCGCTTCTTTCAATGTCGATCCTGTTCACCTTTTACGTGCGCTTCTCCGGGATTTCCCCTCCTCCCCGGAAACGGATGCGACGCCCTTTTGGAAACGGATGCGACGCCCTCTTGGAGGTGCGCAGGCCACCGGAAACGGATGAGACGCCATCTTGGATGCGTGCGCCACCGGAAACGGATGTGCCGCCATCTTGGATGCGCACGCATGACCCATCATGCACTGCGCAGGTCACGTGGCCGGAAGTGCCGTCATTTTGGTACTGAAATCCTGAGCGGTACTGAACCGCTGTACACAACTACTTATGTCCGCTTTCGACAATTGCTGGAACTGTTACTATTGTATTTTGCCTGGATTGTTGAAATTGAGACGACTACGGTTGAAGAAGACAGAAGAATTAGTGAAGACTCTTTAATAGAGAACAATCGAAACAATTCTTAGTGATAACCAGAAAACTGGATGAAAGGCACAGTATACAATCATACATCAGAAATCATACAATAGACCAGAAATCGCTACTTACTTGAAATATGAACCCTCATAGGTTTCACACACAAGCAGGATTGAATTTCCAAATGTTTTTTCAGTGCATGTATTTCTACATCTAGGAGGAACACCTTCTTTTTGTATGGGCAATTACGATGAAACTATTGGTCTGGTTATAAAACTGAATCACTTCATAAAACTGTATTTGGAGGAACACACTTATCGCCAACCCTGTAAGGCCTAGTCTAATCTACAATGTATTTTTTCTTTAGCTCCTTCGCCCGTGACGCTCAGATGGACCCTAAGCTTTGTCGTGTCGGGTGTTTTGCTTGTCCTCGTTACTTGTCTTGTGGTTCTACAGTGTCGAAATCAATACTCCAACAGACAGGAATGCTCAACGGGGTATGTTCATTACACAGGAGAAACACTTAGTGTGCTTTTAAACTGAAACACGGT